AGGGGTATACAAATCCACCGATCCGCCCAAATTTGAAGCAAAATCCGACAATGGTCTTGTCTAAATTCGAATCCGCTAAAAGCTCAACTATGAAGTCACAATCCAGGATCCAAACTAAATTGCAAACTAAATCCACAATCCACAATCCGAGCCAAAATATTACATCAATTCTGTGTAAAATATTCGCCAGATCCAAACAATTTTTTCTGTGAAATCTGATGATCCGAAAACCTATTCACTTTGAGTGCGTGTGTCCACACCAGGTAAGCTGAAAAGTTTACTTGACTGTGGTGGGAATCAAACCTGCAACCTCTGGTTTGCTAGTCCAATGCTAGAGTAGGGTACTAAGATTACGTGAATTTTTTTGGCATGTTAAAACTTGTGCAGCAATATTTGGAATGGATCATTCCAGAAAACATCAATACCCCCCCCCCTCCCACAGAGGAAATTGTTAAACCCCCTATCCTCTTTGGATGTCCTTACTATTATCAGATACAAATATTTCCCCCCTCCCCCTCTGGACAGCAGAAATTTCTACTGTGGTGGTGGTGGGGGGAGTGAGGATCTGGAACGACCATGTTAACATGTGTTGATGTGTTAGTATGCCAGAAGGCTGAGGAGGTATGTAATGAGCTATAGTGAAAATCCATTCCAAAAAGTGAGGTCATGAAGCCGGCCAACAGATGTAATTTATTATAGATTATACTACAAATATCTAAAAAGTGAGGGGGACACATCCCTGCAGGATTGATGCCCTAGATAACGAGAGTGGTCAAAGATTTGGTATCAGCTAGTGTTGCATGCCAAGCAAAGATTTTATGAACAAATATTTTTGACACGGTGATCCATGTTAAATTTCCACCAATTGTTTAAATGGTGTGAAGGTGTCGGCCCAATATTGCATGAGTCATAACCTGAGTGCGAGTGATAGCTAGTAGCCATCCCAGGCTACCCCTTGGGTAAGTATGATAAACAGATGCGTTAATTTGTGAAATATATGACATATAATTTTGTTTGCAATATTTTAATTCTACTGGGTGGATTTTGCATGCAGAGCAGAATTTTTCTTTGTCTTTTCTAATTAGTTCCACCCGAGAAATCACAAGACAAAGAAACATTTCGCTCTGTGTGCAAAATTCCGCCTAGTGGAAAACCAGCTTTAGTAGCAAGTGTAAATTCCGTCGAAATTACTGCAGCCTAGCTGACAGTGTCCACTTTTTAAAGACAAAACCTCCTTCAAATTTCTGTTAAGGAATTTTCTTCTTTAATCAACAAGATACTGAATACTGATTATGGCAGTATAATTTTTACAGTATACTGTTATAAAAATTTTCTTATGGGACATCACTACTAACTTGCTCACATCCCGAAATTTTGTTCAAAGGAAAAAGACCTAGTTGTCCCAGGGTTGAATGATGCTAAAAGAAATGTCGGCATTACGTACTTTACTCTTTAGGGTTCTATTGGGCAGTGTAATGCCCCAAAACCTGGTGCTCTGGATTTTGTTGGAAAAGCAAAATGGAATGCGTGGAATGATTTGGGTAGTCTTACTCAGGTGTGTGTGCTGTTCTGAATTTGTAATTAGAATAATGCAGTAATGTGCTCTCTTCTTGACATGACTCTCCTCTTGACAAGCAAAATTGAGTAGCGTTAGGCGGAGTGGAATAATGAAGTAGGGTGTGTTGGGGAGCATTACATCTTAATGGGTTAACAAGAGACATTCATCAGAGAGGTTCAGATTTCACTACCTCTCACTGGGCAATACACACCTGATTGGTTAATCAGGCAGATTAAATGCATCTGATTGGTTAATCAGGCAGATTAAATGCATCTGATTGGTTAATCAGGCAGATTAAATGCATCTGATTGGAAGTCAAATCTGAACCTCTCTATTGGCAGATACCTTCAGTTGGTTAACATATAATATAACCATGCAAGCACAAATTATCTGTCATTAGACAGTTATATAACAAATTATAAAGGCATGTTGGAACCTAATGGTTAACAAGGGACATTGGCACACGCTGTGGTAAACCCTTTATGCTCAACACTAACCTGAAATTCAGGCCCTAATTTTAAATAGGCTATTAAAATATTATTATTATTTTTCCTATTTAAAATTAGGGCCTGAAATTCAGGTTAGCTCAAAACCCTCAACAACGACATCGTCTGGCATTAGAGTACTAATATGATAGAGGCAGCATTTTATGGTAATTCAGTATTAACAAGAGACATCAGCAGACAAGTAAAACCTCTGATATTAGACATGCTAAAAGAATTATCATGGTGCAAAGTGCATGCTTAAAACGTGTACAGCTAGTGCATTAGAGGTTAATTATTACCGTACTTTATGGTTGTGAAAATAGTTTCAAATAGTCATGATCTTTGTTTCCTTTTTCAGGAAGATGCTCAAAAACAGTATATAGCACTTGTAGAGTCTTTGCTAGGTAAACTTAGATGCAATTTCAATGATACTTTGCACATTTGTACATAAGACTTAAGAGATCAATCAGACATAATTTTGTTGGCTACTGTGTCTACTATCCAGTTGCTCAAACTTAGTTTAAAACCAGTAGTTGCTGCGGACGAACAAAGTAAAAATTCCAAGAAATGTTTTTGTTACTTTAATAATGTACTAATTTTTTAGCTCAAGAGCCGTCCAGTGTCAAAGCCGAGGAAGAGAACACCACAGATTCTGGTAGTTTTGAGCACATACTGGTCACACAAGATGGTGGACTAAAGACAATAACACTCAACAGACCCACGAAATATAATGCCTTAAACCACAAGGTGAATATTTGACAATATCAAATTTTACTTCAAATTGTGACAAGTTAACATGAACGTTTTTGGGCATACTTTCTTTTAGATGTATCGAGAATTAATTACCGCTCTCAAACAAGGTGGTCAAGACGACTCCGTTGTGACGTTAATTACTGGAGCAGGACAATATTTCTGCAGTGGCAACGATCTCAATAATTTCTTAAATATCCCTCCCGAAGGACCGGAAAAATTAGCTGCTGAAGGAAGGGAATTACTAAGGTTGGAAAATCAAGTTCAACACATCAACTTTGATGAGAACTGATGAGGTTTTGCTAGTTTGATCGCTAGCACTGTAATGTCTAGTCAACTTTTGTGCAACTCTTGTGCCGGAAATTAACCAGAAATTGGACAGAAAAACGGCCATGTCGTTGAGTATTCATCATGGGCTCAGTCAAAAATTTTCGCGCGCTTTTTGCTTTGCTGTACACCGACTTATTTACAACAAAATAAAGGAAGCCTCTCATATCGATTTTGTCCATGAGAAACGTCATATGTTCGTTTCTCTGGAGACCCCCCCCCCACACCCCCCTTAGAAACGATATTTTGTTCTTATAGTACCCATAAGGTAATTTTCCACTATTTTCTACGGTCGGCTATTGGCGATGCTTCTGCAAGGAATATGTCATCTTCTGCTGACATAACTTTTTTTCAGCCTCGTACCCAGGCGCAAATAACGTACTAAAAAACAGCAACACTACAGTTTTTTTTATAGATCAATGGCTGAGCGAGCGCGCGGGGGTGCTTGGGGAGTAATCCCGTCGTGTCCTGACCTAGCACCCCCGCGCGCTCGCTCTCTTAGCCACTGATCTATATAAAAACACTGTAGTGTTGCTATTTTTAGTACGTTATTTGCGCCTCGGTACGAGGCTGACTTTTTTTACTAATATATAATTTCCAACGTTTCTCAAAACAACTTTTTTTTGCATGAAATACGGATAATTTTGGCGCGTTTTTCTTGAAATTTGAGTGTTTTCAATGCAAGGAAGGCGTAATAATATAAATGTATACGTATAGACTGGTGTTTGTATCAAGTTGTTTTCTTTTTTATATTCTGCAAAGATGATTCCGAAATGTTAAGGCTTTCGAAAAAACTATCGAATTTTCCCATGATGTTTACAGAGAAACGTCACAGCTGCAACCCCAACACACGAACATATGACGTTTCTCGTGGAAAAATCGATATGTGAGGCTTCCCTAAGGCTCAACTTGAACAATCGATATGTGAGGCTTCCCTAAGGCTCAACTCAAGTTGAAAATATTTCTAATTGTTCTTCAGTCTCGCAAAATTGTTTTTGGTTCTTATGAACGAGCTTTCGTTGGTAGGGATGAAACTACCTCGTGTAAAATATAAGGAGAATTTCGACGTTTCGAGCGAAGGCCCTTCGTCATCCTTTCTTTTCCTCAAAATTCTACCGATAAATAAAAAACTTCGCCGACTATTTCGTGAAATAATGTTCAATGTAGTTCACTTCATTAATATTCAGACACGTACGCATGTACAATATACGCATGCTCATTGCGTGCCCGGCACTGGTGCCAAACGTTCAAAATGGTTCACAAAACATGTTGAGCACAGTGCCGTTGTTGAGTACTACGTCTAGAGGTAATGCCCTTTCTTGGGCACGGTGCCCGATTTCATTTGAAAGCATCATGTTCAAACTAGGCGCCAAAACAAGTGACGGGCACCAGTGCCGGGCACCCAGTCTGGACGCAGCTTAAGATGAGCTAGCTCATCTTGGGCGTCAATTTATGACCGCAATTTCTGATCATGTTGACGAGGGCAGAAAACACAAGCACACTGACTTCGGCCACGCTCATCTTTGTTAACCAGAGCTTTACAGCTTGCAATATGTATTCCCTTAAACCAGCTTTTTTTTACTATAGAGAATTTGTATCGACATTTATCGATTTTCCGAAACCAATAGTTGCTGCTGTTAATGGTCCTGCTGTAGGAATATCTGTCACTCTGCTGGGTTTACTGGATATGGTGTACGCCTCAGATAGAGCTACATTTCATACACCATTCATGACACTTGGCCAGAGTCCTGAGGCATGTTCGTCCTATCTATTTCCCAAGATTATGGGACATGCAAAGGTGAGGCACAGATCCCGACCCCCACTGGTCTAGCTGCGACAGTTACCCAGTTATATTTTTGAGATCAGTGATCTCAAGACTAGGCTGGGGCGGTTTTTCGGTATACCGAAAAATACCGTTTGTTTTTTTTGAAAAACCGGTTTTTCGGTTTTGCCAAAGTCCAAGCACCGAAAAACCGAAAAAAATAGAAAAAGACGAACAACCGGGAAAAAACGAGATATAAATGCTAATGTTTCAGCTGATCCTAGCTGAAAACTTGTTAATACGTTCTTTTAACATTGTCATCTTACTTGTATTTTTATACCTCTGTTGATCTTAAGCCGTCTAAAACTAAAATTCTTCACATAATAAAAACACGTGCTACACCATTTTATGTACATGTGTTATTTATAGATAAAAAAACGGTTTTTCGTTTTTTCCCGGTTTTTACCTGACGGTTTTCGGTTTCGGTTTTTTTCAAGAACGCCCCAGTCTACTCAAGACAAGCATTAATTAAGCACGGTAAATTATTTTCTAGGCTCACGAAGTTTTGCTTGCGGGCAGAAAACTAAACGCCGTTGAAGCTTCCAACTACGGTTTGGTTACAGAAGTATTTCCTCAAGCAGAATTTGAGACAGAAGTTAATAAACGGATGAAATATTTGGCTGGGTTACCTCCCAAGGTATATGTATACTGGGTCTCATTGTGGATCTCATTACTAGTAGACGTAAAGGCTGCATGGTTTGAACTATCAAAGTTTCTGTGATCACAGTAGGAATTTTGCATGGGTAAATTCTAAGTTTTGAAGGATTTGTAAGAAATGTTTGAGGTAACTGACTCAGTTATGACTTATGCTCTTTCTAATTTTGCTCGGGCGACTGCGCGAGTGCAATTTTCACAATATTTAGACCGTTCGAAATGAAAAAAGAGAGATGTTGCCATTCCCAAAACTATTCAAACAGCCATGGGCGTACGGGACCAGTCTTGTTTGGGGGGGGGGGGGCACAGTATATTTTGCCCGAACAGGCAAACTTAACATTTTACAGGTCACCAAAAAATTTTGTCGGGACAAACCAAAAAAAATTTTTCGGGACATACCAAAAAATTTTTTCGGGACATACCAAAAAAATCTTTCCGGACATACCCAAAAACTTGCCAGTAAACATACGAAAATTTTGCCGGACATAAAATTTTCCCTAACATCATGTAATTTCAGTTGCAACTATACAAAAAAATTTTCACTGCATATCATATTTTTCTGAAATTTTTATGTTTTGCCCGAATGTCGCATTGATTTTTGCCCGACCGCAGAAATTTTGCCCCCCCCCCGGGCCATACGCCCATGCAAACAGCTGCCCAACCTCGTACCCAGGACTAGTCGCGAATTGAAGTCTTCAATTCGCCCGCCTTCAATTCGCGACTAGTCCTGGGTACGAGGTTGACAGCTGCCATGAAATTTTGCATGAGCATATAGACTCTGGAATCTTAGGCTTAGCCATTTGTCCTGCTTTTTGATGGATGCATGTAACCATAGCCTGTCGAAGGGAAGATGGCTGTGAAACTCATTAGAATAACAATATAACTCATCTATGTTAGTCAACGTTTATTCATAAATCTCGTCGTTTCACCGTCACGTGTGTATTGTATTTTTACCAAATCCACCAATAGCAATCTCCAGTTTCCCTATTGTTCGAGTCACGGATAGGTGACTTTCTTAAAACATTGCTGTTGATTAGTTGAGCAAGAATACAATACATACGTGACGGTGAAGGACCAGATTTATGAATAAACGTTGACCAACATAGATAATGAGTTATATTGTTATTGTAATGAGTTTCACAGCCATCTTCCCTTCGATAGGCCATGATGTAACGTAAAATCCATAGATATCTTATATACACTAGATAGTGCATCTAATTATTCTGCAATTCAAAAATTGAAGCCGTGATTGCAGTCCCAGGTCGTTCCCATGAAATGAGAAGATTCGTATATTTCCTATTTCTTAAACACGGAACTTAAACATGACGGTAACCCTTTCCAAATACGTTTTTAAACTACTCAAATGATGAAAGTTATTGTTGTTTTTAAGCGTTTATTAGCAAGTGGGAACGACCAACATGGCCGCCATCTATTCAAATGGGGGTAACCGCTGGAATATTCTTGGCTTCAATTTTACTAAAAGGGATGCGCTATCTAGTGTATATAAGATATCTATGGTAAAATCTCGTTGAGTAATCAGAGCTTAATTTTGCTCGCGCGAAGTGCAATTTTCACATCAGTTATTTAGACCGTTCGAAATGAAAAAACCCAGAAATGTTGCCATTCCGAAACTGCTGCCAAGAAATTTAAATTGAAGTTAAATTTGATTGCCTATTATTTTATTGATATTTAATGTTACTTCTCTTATTTCCAGTCGCTGGCACTATCGAAACAGCTATGTCGTTCAGCAGAAAAGGAGAAACTCCATGATGTCAATAACAAGGAATGTGAACTTCTCGCTGAAAGATGGCTCTCAGAAGAATGCGCAGAAGCTGTTATGGCGTTTATGCAAAGAAAGGCAAAAATGTGAACGGGATCAGTAATCAACTAAAAAGTTAATACAATTTGCGATCTGTTGAGTTTTTACCACTCGCGCCAATTAGACTCTACATTATTACTAAATTATACCAACAGGGTTTACTTAATTTAAAGAAATTATACTGAAACGCGCTTTTTGTAATTCTTTGTTATAGTGATTTATTTAAGACGGCTACAGACGATATTACAATTCATATTGCATGTGCCTTAGCATATAGTCGTAGAAATTATAGATATAAAATGCGTATTGCTATCTTTTCTCAGTAAAATTTTGTCTCCAGAAAATGCCGGATTTATAAGGGTAATCTGGCTCTATTAGTTCTATGGTCTACGTACAACAAATTTTCTATGGCATGTTCCCTCCCCTCTCCCCCCAAAGATAGCTATATTCACTATTCCAACAATATATTGGCATATACAAGTGCAGAATGATCGCATACAGACAAACACAAAATTTGTTTGTACCGTTTGTCAATTTTTTCAAGTGTGTGAAGTGTTAAAGCCAGGCGTAGGAAAATAATTTGTTACTTAGTGTCACCATTGGCATTGTGACAGAACAAAAAAAAAATTGCCATTAATATTCCGGCATATGGCCAACTATACGGAACAAAGCGTAAATCCCACGAGCTGTCGATTCAGTCTAAATGGCCTAATATACAAATTTGGCTAACCGTTTGTTTATACCCAATTCACCCTTCCGGAAAGAACGCAGCCTTGGCTATAGAGCCTCGTTTCTGTGATATGATACATTTGGTTCAGAGTCCTTTATTTTGTTCAGATGGACACATTTATGCAACCATACAGTTATATCAGACAGTAAATATGAAAGCTTAGTTATTGTGTCTACATTGGCATCACCTTAGGTTGGAGCTTGACAACTGGACTCTGTAGCTTAAGCCTGCCGCACACGAGAGCTATCTGCTGAGCAAAAAGTTACTCGTGCCTGTTAGCTCAGCCGATAGCTCACCGTGTGCGCGTACATTTTACTGAGTTTTTTGCCTCATGCAACCTTTTCTCACGTATCAAACATGTTTGATCGGTGAGCTATCAGCTGAGCTAACAGGCACGAGTAACTTTTTGCTCAGCAGATAGCTCTCGTGTGCGGCAGGCTTTAGTTTGTTAGAGCGCTGCACCGGAATCCTCTCGGTCAGGCCTATTAAAAATGTGTATAATTTTACTTAAAAAGTTTCTATAAAACCTCTTAATGTAAACATTCAGTTCTATCGAAAGAGAACCTAGACTCTTTCTATGCAACCATCCAGCTGTGCTATAGAGATCAATAATAAAAACTTCAAAATATTTTTTAAAAATTAAAATGTGTGAAATTTGTTAATTTGTAACATGATCGCTATTGTTTTGTATTCCCATCAGTTTCACAAGTACATCAATGGTATAGGAAATGGTCAGTTTTCATGAAACTTACAGTTACTTCTGGTTTAATGACTCGATGATGCGGTAATCCAGATTTATCAAAACTGCAACGTGTGTAGCACAGAATTAGATATTTCATTATTTGTCAGGAATGAGTGATCAGTTCAACCAAGCCAAGAAAAATGTGTCCAAGTTGACGCAAGATCCGGGAAATGATGTTCAACTAAAAATGTATTCACTATATAAACAGGTAATGTGAGGTGTTTAATAGAGGAAGGTTAGGATGGAGAGTGAAGTAATAAAGGGTACACCCACAGGCTACAACTTTTGGGTCTAATGGGCTATTCCATTTAATATCCGTACACCCCCTGTCGAGGATACATGTTTTTTATGGTTATACCCCTGAAGAATTCCAAGCTCAAAACCTTTTACCCCTGAAGAATTCCAAAATTCCAAGCTCAAAACCCTTTACCCCTGAAGAATTCCAAGCTCAAAACCTTTTACCCCTGAAGAATTCCAAAATTCCAAGCTCAAACCCCTTTACCCCTGAAGAATTCCAAGCTCAAAACCTTTTACCCCAGAAGAATTCCAAGCTCAAAACCCTTTACCCCTGAAGAATTCCAAGCTCAAAACCCTTTACCCCTGAAAAATTCCAAGCTCAAAACCTTTTACCCCTGAAGAATTACAAGCTGAAAACCCTTTACCCCTGAAGAATTCCAAGCTCTGAAAAATTTCAAATCAAACCTCCTTACCCCTGAAGAATTCCAAGCTCAAAACCCTTTACCCCTGAAGAATTCCAAACTCAAAACCCTTTACCCCTGAAGAATTCCAACCTCAAAACACTTTACCCCTGAAGAATTCCAAGCTCAAAACACTTTACCCCTGAAGGATTCCAAGCTCAAAACCCTTTACCCCTGAAGAATTCCAGGGATCCTCGACAGGGGGGGTACGGATATTAAATGGAATAGCCCAATGTGAGAGTGGGATAAGGGGTATTAAATGATAGCTTGAAAGCCCACAGGGAGGTGGTATGCACTTGCCCAACCAATATCATATGGGCTCACAGTTTTGATGTTTCCCACATGTTTACTGGTGCATTTTTGAAATGGGTTCCAAGAAATATCTATATGCCCCCATGGTGAAAATGTCTGCTGTCTGAAGGGGAGGGGAGAGAAATTGTTTCTAAAAATAGTATATCTGGATATCTGGAGGGGGTGGGATTAACCTCCAATTTCTCCCATGGGGGAAGTATAGGTGTTTTCTGGAATGCAGACCTGCTATTTCAATATATGCTGTGAAGAAATGCAGTACCCTAAAGCATAGGCGTTAGAGACAGCAGGCAACTGCCAACTTTGAAAAACCATGGAATGCTTGGAAATTGACGCTCCGGTTATTTCATTATAATTCTGCATAAAAATTCGGGCAAACTTTAACTGCTCCCCCCTTCCCCGGAAAGGATCAGCCCCACATGCCTATGCCCTAAAGCATGGAGGTTCAGAAAAGTAAAGTGGTGGCAGATAATTTGGTGGGGTGTGGTACGGTACCAGACATCCCATATGCAACTAAAATAGATTGAGTACTGGACCCAGATAGGCCTTGTATCCCAAGGTTGTTGCCATTACATTTATAGGGTTCTGTTGGACCATGTAAGGCTGCAAAACCTGGTGCTCTGGATTGTTGGAAAGGCAAAGTGGAATGCATGGAATGAGATTTTTACATTTGAAAGAATTAACCCATTAAGTGGCAGCACTCTACCCTTGACAGAGTAAAATAATCCAGCATTAGACAGTAAACAAAAACACAAACATTACTTGATACAATGGAAGTCACTTCCAATATTTATTTACTTCCATTGTATCAAGTAATGTTTGTGTTGTTTTTTTTGTGTGTGTGTTTTTGTATTACCCAATGTCTGTACATTATTTAAGTATTGATTTATTTTGTGGCAAATAAAGAATCTAAAATAATAAAGTGGGGTGCATGACTACTAAAAGGGTTAACATGAACAATGCATAATGCATTGATAGATAGTCTGGGTAACGTTCCAATGAGATTGTCTGCCATTACACAGAGTAAAATAGTGAAGTAGGGCACACCAGGAGCACTGCGACTGGAAGGGTTAACACAACCAGCATTAGACAAACTAATATAATATAATTATGCCCGGTGCATAATAGGGCACATTGCAACCTGATGGTTAACAATGTCACTTGTCCTTTGACGACATTTTCCCTTGACTAGTAAAATCTCCAGATGTCACTTAAACAAGTAAATATGGTACAAACTAGAGTGCATTGTAGCAGGTTACTGTTACTTTATGTTTGTCAAAATAGTTTTAAATAGTCACCAACAATCATTGTTAACTTTACTTTTCATAGGAAGATGTTCAATACAGTATATAAAACTTGGGGAGTCTTTGCTGTGTAAAATTTGTATCCAAAATATATTCTGATACCCTGCACATTTTCTATAAATTACAGACCAGATCACTTGCAACACTGCTTAATTTAAGTAAAATGAATGCATTCCCTGAGCAAATTACGTTCACAACCCAAGAATTTAAATTTGAAACTTCAGTTCAGTGTCTCCAACATCAGGGCTGATCTAAAGTCGCAACATGGCTCCCGATGGTTGCAGAAACAAGGGCATACCAACTCGGTACACCACTGCACAGAGGTGCAAAGGTAAAGTTCCAAGAAATATTTCTTTGTTAACTTCAGGTACTAGCTCAAGAATTACCCAATAACAAAGTCAAGGAGGGCCATACCTCTGATTCTGGTGATTTTGAGTACATATTGGTCACACAAGATGGTGGACTAAAAACAGTAACACTCAACAGACCCACAAAATACAATGCAATAAACTCCAAGGTTAATAATTACTTAATCGTTTAAATTCCATTGTTGTTGTTGTTGTTGTTGTTGTTGTTGTTGTTGTTGTTGTTGCATGTTGTTATTGTTGCTGTTCGACCAATTCTATAAACAATTGTTTAAGGTCAAGATCAGAGGTTTATATAATTAATACAATGTTACTAATAATTATAGAACAAATGGCAGAATTGTCGAACTTTGAATCACTATATCTTTTCAGTGAATGGTGGTACTTCGAACAGACTTCAGTTTTAAGATTCCCACAGCATGTTCTTCCAAATAAATACACAAGATTCTGATTACCATTTACTTGTAGCTAATTTTTAAACTTTTGACGCCAAGTTTGTGACGTCATTTCCCCCCGCCAAAAATGTAAAATTCAAAAAAAAAACCCAAAAAACAATGTTCAAGGCTTCAAGCATAGACAAGCAACATTTGTATATATATTTGATGGAGTTTTTTGTATATAAATTAAACAAAACCCTGATAACAACACAAGTACATGCTATGTTTGTTTATCATCAGTTCAGGGAGACATTCAACCTTCTCACAGAATAGATAATACCTCGTTCCCATGAGGCTTGTCAAGATATGATGGTCTGTTTAATGTTGAATTGTACCTCACCGTACGCAAATCCTTAATGTCTCAACTTCATTAAATATTACCCATATGCAACTTTCATCTCTGTCAGTGTGTAATCGAGTAATCGTCCAATAGGGGTAGAAAATACAACGAGTTAAATGCCTTAAATCACCGGTGACCGTGCATTAAAACATATTACACAATGACTTCTGTGTAGTTTCCAGTGACCATCATGGGATGGAAGTGAATAGGGATATACAAATCCGCCGATCCGACCAAATTTGAAGCAAAATCCGCGATCCGCAATGGTCTTGTCTAGTGATTTGAATCCGCTAAAAGCTCTACTATGAAGTCACAATCCAGGATCCGAACTAAATTGCAAGCTAAATACACAATCCGAGCCAAAATATTAGATAAATCCGCAATCCGCTGTATTAATAAGATCCGCAAATCCGTGTAAAATATTCACCAGATCCAAAATCCGAACAATTTTTTCTGTGAAATCAGACGATCCGAAAACCTGTTCACCATCATGATAGACTATGCTTTAATATCTTTCAGATGTGCTTCATGTGTCTAATTTTGAGGCCCGGTAGTTCTTTGGGGGTGTGCGTCGTCTTTTGTAGTTGTAAATTGTGGAGAATACGAACATTTTTGGACAAATTTTCTTTTAGATGTATCGAGAATTAATTACAGCCCTTAAACAAGCCGGTCAAGATGACTCCGTTGTGACGTTGATTACTGGTGCTGGGCAATATTTCTGCAGTGGAAACGATCTTACTTCTTCCTTAAATATCCCTCCTGAGGAACGGGAAAAATTGGCTCTTAAAAGAAATGAACTAATGAGGTTGGGAAATCAAGTTCTACCCGAGGCGTAGCCACGGGAGGGATGGGGGTCTGGACCCCCCAACAATTTTCTTCAGGACCCGAATTTTGCAAATCTTTGAAACCGGAGAAATTTTTTTTTTAGGGGGGGGGGGGCATAGCACGATAATAGCTCCTCCATTAAAAGAGGCTCTGGTTTGATGGAGGTTGACAGGGACGCCGAGAGGGGAGGAGGAATTGCCCCGGGCCCCCAACCTTAATAGGGCCCCAACTTGAGAGCGAGAGCCTAAAATTGAGTAAGTTCTTTAAAATGGTCAGAGAATTTTTGAAATTAAGGGCCCCTTACAATACCTCCACATGCAGTCTAGTTAAGGTCTGGTTAGGTCTAGCTTAAAAATAATGTCATGGGGCCCCCAAGGAAGATTTGCCCCGGGCCCCACAAATTCTCTCGGCGGCCCTGGAGGTTGACATGTCACTTGCAGACTCTTATCTTTTTTTGATATTTGCCAACTTAACCAGTCCAACTTTTTTATTATAGAGAGTTTGTGTCGACATTTATCGACTTTCCCAAACCAATAGTGGCTGCTGTGAATGGTCCTGCTATTGGTATATCTGTCACTCTACTGGCCTTACTGGATATGGTGTACGCCTCAGATAGAGCTACATTTCATACACCATTCATGACACTTGGATTGTGTCCCGAGGCATGCTCGTCCTATCTTTTTCCCAAGATTATGGGACATGCAAAGGTAAGGCACAGATCCCAACCCCCACTGACCTGAAAATCAGGGATTTATACAAGCATGTAGGGGGAGCACCCTCCACTTCTACCAATCCCTCCCCCCCCCAGAAAGTTCTTAATATTCTCTCTATGTCTATGAAATAACATTTCCTGCATTCATACAGCACTTTTGAGCAAAATATATCGGTTTTAAAACAGGTTTTTAATCGCGTGTTGAAGAATATACAACGATCAAGTACATTCTTCCTTTTACAGTTAATTATTCACATTTGCCATATTAATTACTCACATTTGCCATGTTAATTATTCACATATATATGACGGAAGAATATTGAGTTTCAAAACGTAATTTGAAGAATGAGTTCTGAAAATTGAAAAAAACCCAAAATACTGGCCCACAACACAAACTGTTTCTGTTTCGTTCAAACTCGTAACCTTTCTAACATACTATGGTTGAGACTTTGTATGTCAATGTAGAGCAGTCATAGCATCGTAAACCCAGTGTACTTTATATAACTTTAATATCAGCGATCTCCACCACAAATTATTTTCTAGGCTAACGAAGTTTTGCTAGCGGGTAGAAAATTGAATGCCGTTGAAGCTTGCAACTGTGGTTTAGTTACAGAAGTATTTCCTCAAGCAGAATTCGAGAAAGAAGTGAATAAAAGAATGAAACATTTGACTGGGTTACCTCCCAAGGTATGTATATTCGGTAGATCCGTTTCGCTGATCTGGCAATATAAAACTACATAGACGCTTTGCATTAGGACCCATAGTTGCATTTTTCGCAAATTTCCACGTACAAAAGCTTCAACTATTATTCAATCGAGTGAAACGCCAACAAAATCTTAATATCAATATACTCTTTGATGGACTTCTTTTTTTCAGTCGCTAGCACTATCGAAACAACTGTGTCGTTCAGCAGAAAAAGACAAACTCCACGATGTAAATAATAAAGAATGTGATGTTATCGCAGAGAGATCGCGCTCGGAAGAAAGTGCACAAGCTGTCATAGCGTTTATGCAAAGAAAGGCAAAAATGTGAATTGAACAGTAAATCTGTTAAACACTTAATGGTTTGACAAAAAAAATTACCGCAAATCATACGAAGTAAGTTTATCCAATTTAATGATTGTACCGTAACCAAGCCTTTGGTTCTGAGCACTCAAAGGGTCTGAAATTTGCAATATCCCAATATCCACAGGATACTAAAACGGGGGAGGAAAAATTTTTTTACTTTCTGGGAACCTGGGTCAAAGGCTAGAAATTTTCTGTGAAATTTGCAATGTTACAATTACAGAGATGACAAAACAAATGCATAATTATTGTATTATTTGTACTTTAATAATAATAGGCTTTACACTGGTTTTTGTATGCTCGTACATCGCAATGGTTGTCTGTTATATAGTCTGAGTGAGTGTCTATTAAATTAATTTATTCTACTTAAATCTAACCTCATGCATGAGCATTATTTACCCTTACATATTCTAAACATAGTTTCATATTAATCTGACACTGTAATCAACCAACGATTTGAATTTGCATCTTCGGGTATCTAGACCGCTGCTCTACCTATTGAGCTATCGAGTCAACAGGGATTGGTAGCGAGTCTTATCCAATTTAAGTGCACAAAATATTTTCGTGACGACTTAACGCTTGTCTTAAAGGACGCGCAGTGTTTCAATTCCATTTCAACAGGTAGAGCGGCGGTCTAGATACCCGAAGATGCGAGTTCAAATTCCGCTAGAGCCAACAAATTTTTCGTTGGTCGATTGCAGTATCAGATTAATATGAAACTAGTTTTTTGTATCGCTGCGGATGGTTCTGAAATATTCTAAACATATCGAAACTTTTTAGCCCTTCGTTAAACGAGGCGTATTTATAAAAAAAAATGCATGACATTTCTTTCTTGGAACATTAGAATTTGATTTTCATGCAGGGTCATTGAATATTTGGAATAAATCTTTTAATCAAAATCGCGTCATAATTTAATTTTATATTTACGACAAAATGGTAATGGTTATCAAATTAGTCTATAACAGCTTTTAGTTTTTAAGTTAAAATAAATCAAACAAGGCAGCTCTTTTCTGCGCCACCCGGTAGTATTATAGCAGTATAATAATAGCATTACAGCACTGGGACTTGTTTACTATTTAATTTGCATTTTATTGGAGACTTTGCAGAGCATATATTTACCACTTTTCCTCACGATTATGATGGCAAAGGTGGGTAACAGAATTAATTTCCGTCCAATATTAAAAGGCTGCTGATGTTAGTGTGTACACTGTACAGTGTAAATAAAGTAGAATAGTTGTAACTTCTAAGTTGAGTAAACAGAGTTATCTCAAAATGTTGAAATATTTTCTGGAAAATTTTCTGCGAAACTCTCAACTCAAAAAATTTCTGGGAACTAGGTTCCCAGGTTCCGATACTTTTTCCACCGCTGTACTAAAATTTGGTTTTGGTACCAAACTGTGAATGACTTGTATTCTGTCTGGATATTACTAAATTTCAAACATTAGGATAATGCTAAATGTCTGTGGTGGTTTTCCAATAGCTTTGAATACTATGAGTGCCTTCTTGAAAATAACCACTATTTAATTTCTAACTTGGTGGTCTAGTTGTTGACTGTTGAGTCTCCTGTTATTATTTATAACAATGAGAGACATGTACTGTATACTTACTGTGATGGTTCAGAGATGCCAAACTTTACGGTAGCCAGTATCCAGAAGTGGGATACTAGGTTCTCAGTTGGAATACTAGAACTTTTAATCCTGGTTTCCCAGTGGGGTACTGCAAAAAAATTAATTTCAGATCCTGCTGGAGCAAGTTTAGTTTTCACGGAAATATCCTGTATTTCATTTCCCCTTCAATATCTCTTATTAAATACAGGTAAAACGTTTTCAGCTAGTTAGTTGCTGTGGCGCATGCGGGCAGCGACGATACTGAGCTTCCGCCTGAGATTCGTGGTGAATTTCCAGATTAGAGGTTTGCATCGGACCGGATATAAACTTTATAAATAAAAGATAATGTAAAACGTAATAAAACGGCGAACATGAAGATTTGGCCATCTCAAATAATGGTAAGTTGCGATGGTAGCGTTGCAGACTGCAGAGGAGAGTGGGCAGCAAGGCTCCCTCATGCACCACTCCATGGAAAACCTGCACCCCTTCTTGCAGATGAGGCTAGACCAGCCGCTCGGCTGGTCGTAATGTAAGATTCTTGTCCTGTTCACCATACCTGTCTTCCTTTTCTATAATTTGAATTTTTATAATGTATTCGTTACCCGATCATCCAGTACCACCGAGCTGTTGTTCCGTCGACAAAAATGCAGAACTACCACTTTCCAAAAATCTTATTTTACCAGAGCCACAAGAGTTTGGAACTGTCTTCCAACAAACTTAAGACAGCCAAATATGTCGTTAAGTAGGCTACATTTAAGAGATTGCTGCGGAACTACTATTTGGAAGCCCTGCATAGTTGTACGTGGAAATCTGTGTGTTTAATCTGTAACTCTTGTCGTAGTTTGAACGGTGTTGTAAATTGTTGTTTCTAGTTATTATATGTTAAAAGGGCCCACAGTAATTGGTTTTAACTGTTGTGGTGTCCCAGCCATCTGCTGCTTACAATATTATTGCATTGTACTGTATGTATTGTACATGGACTGAACTATATACTGTACTGTAATGTCTTGTATTATATATACCGTTTCTATTGTCTTGTATTGCATTTTTGTATAGTATTCTATATATACATGTTTTTTGTGTAAATTTATCAAATGGCGAAGTTATATAAATAAATAAATAAGTATGTGTCTAAATAAACTGAAAATGTGTTCAAAAGTAAAATACAATAGAGTAAAGTACTAAAGTAAATTACTAAAAGTTAAAAATTATTTAATTCAAAATATGAATTTGTTTGTCAACACGTATGTTTACAAATAATTATGTTAATTTTCTAAATTATACAAACTAGCCAGTAGCTACATTAAATATGAAAAAAAGTTAAAATGTACTCGAAAAAGTACGTTAAAATCGAATGTAAAACACTATATATATATACCTAAATGAGTAAATGTACCTAACCGTACATCGTTCTAAAGCAGTACATGCCCAATTGATGTCTTGGACAAAATATTGAAGACATGAAAAGGCAAAGCTTCAAGCCTGTCTTTCTCATACTATATGTATTGGCATGTACGTTTATCATTCAAACCATACAAAAATGTGAGTGTGATTATTTCGATTACAGTAATCAATGGGTGATTCCAGCTATTGATTAATTTTTGATGCAGACAAGAAAGACGAAATCTGTCATTACAGCTACAAAAAAAACATCCTTTATAAATTACAGGGCGTGTTGTACAGGGTACAGGGCGTGTTGTTTCATGCAACCATTCTTGCGAGTTGCGACAGCGTAGTGAGGAACAAGTTGCTTCCAAGATTGCATTGCGTAACAGCGCCTTTTAACATTAATATTGCAAGTGCTGAAGATGGCTCTGCGAAAGAGAATGCGTCACGACTATATGAATCAAGACGAAAAATAAGACGTATCAAGGATTGATGTCCACGAGGAATGCTGGTCTTAGTAGTCATCGCCCGAGAAAATTACTAAACAATTCAAAATGGCCACTATCGAAATTTTCCTGGGCGATGACTACCAGGGCCGCCGAGAGGGGGGGCAGGGGGGGGCAAATTGCCCCGGGTTGCTGGTGGCCCCTGAAAAATTTTTGTTGGGCCCCAGCCTTTTTTGTGTGTTAAATATTTCCGCGAAAAGGACAAGATATCTGTTTTCTTGGGCTAAGCACCGGAATTTGGCATAAAAAAATGAGATAAAGTTCCTGGAAAGCAATTGCAACGTAGCCGTCCGGAAAAATTTTGTATTCCGGAAAATTTTTTTACCCCTAAAATGGTACACTGACCGAAAATTTTTTGGCGACGTGGGGGGGGGGGGGCGGCCCTGATGACTACTAAGACCAGCACTCCACGTGGGCATCAAGCCTTGTGACGTCATTATGCATAAGCTCTATTGCCTCGTAATTCATGGGAATGAGGCTCCCGGGCCAAGAAGAAGTAATTATCGAAAAGCGTATTTCCTTACCAAAATTAATTCTGACCGCAAGTTTATACCGGCATACCTGAACTGTCACTGCACATGCAATCATTCCTGGACATTCAATCATTCTTGAATACTGACCCGCCATCTTGACAGGATATTCTTCAACGCGGTGTCGTTAATAACATACTTTAAGAAAAGGTCAATTTCCTCATGATTTGTGTTCTCCAGCTCCTGGACTTTTGTTCCATGCAGAAGTGTCTTCGTGTCACGCAGGCACTGGAATTTAACAAAATTTACAAGTATTAAAATAACTAAGGCGATGTTTACAGTTTACAAGGGAATGGCTTTTTAATGACGATTGGGCTATTCCATTTGAAAAGACGTGTCGCGGCGTCGCTGACGCAGTATTCAGAGTAAGCGCATTTCACGTTTGAGATCGTGGGTTCGATTCCCGCTACGGACTCATGTGTAAAGAGTCTAATGTCAACGCTCTGCCGACGTCGTGGGTTTTCTCCGGGCGCTCCGGTTTCCTCCCACAGGGAAAGTTGACCGGATGGGTTAGGATAAATACAGTATCAAAGTCTGATAATGCCATCAAGCTTGTTACAATTAAGTTGTTATTAAACGGCTTATTCCAAACCTATTGACAATTTGGGACAAGCAGTGGGAATTTTAGTTATATAGTTTTATGATAATTTTCTAAATTACCTGTTGTAAACATATTAATCAATTCAGTTTGTTAACTGAAATTTACGTATATTTAATAAACTACTACTACTACCGAACACAACTTGTGGGCAGACTTGCTACAAAATGCGAGATTTTTTCGTGTGTACACGGCTACACGCGTAAAAAAGTCACATCTTGTAGCAAGTCTGCCAACAAGCCGTCGACAACTTTGGAACAAGCTGTTAACAACTTGTAATGGAACAACCTTGTTGATAGAATCAGACTTGTTGCAAGGTTGTTCCACAATCTTGTAACATTCTTGTTATATCAGGACTGTATCAGATTTGTTATAGAATAACCTTGTGACAAGTCTGATAATGCCATCAAGCGTGTTACAAGTTAACAGCTTGTTCCAAACTTCTTCCAACAAGTTGTTCACACAACTTGTCGACAGATTTGTAACAACTTGTTTGCAGACCTGTAACAACTTGTGCGTTTATACGTGTGTTGACTCAACCCAAATCTTCCCAGATCATTAGCTGACCACGTCTGCACCTAACCACCCACACGGGTAAGTATGGTGATGACAGATATTAATAAAGTTTTCAGCTATATTTATAAAATATAAACAATCACGTACCTGCAAAGGAACAGAGAGAAGTCTTTGAACATTTGATTTCAAATCTTTATCGAACTGATCCGTCTTCAGAACTTCAGCAACAAGACCAAACTGTTTAGCCGTAGCAGCAGAGAGTTTTGTGTTGAATAAAATCGCTGACATTGCCTGAAACATAGTAGATATTTCGTATATGAAAAGGAAATACTATGGTTTCGAGTACAAAAGAAAAACCATGTTTTTCCAAATCCCACGAAAAACCGTACGATTACTTATTAATAAATTAATATACATGAAAATATTGCGCAGTTATCTCCATGCGTCATACGAAATAGATTATTTTAATATAAACATTTTGTCACTCGTAAATGTTTGGGTTTTTTTGTATTATTTGCACTTTTTGCACAGTATTTCACTTTTTTGCACTGTATTTCGAAAAAATTGCACTGTCAGAATTGAGAAATTTTTTCATGTACTGTACATTATCAGACGAGTAATATATATCAAAACTAGAGGGCACTGAGAGTGCATACCTCCGCCAGCGAATTGAATAAATTATACAATAGGCTAAATTACGCATTCAGTTTACTCTACCCAGCAAGACAACAAATCTCTCATCCACTACTTTCATCCAAATTTACCCAAAATTTAATCAATTTGTCCTTGAGCAAGTCCCAGAAATTTTCTTTTTCCACAATGTCACGCGAATGTAAAAAATACCCCAGCTATTTTTTTCGAGATCATTAGACGTGCATGCAGGGTATAAATTAAAACTACCTGTGATGTCCCAAGTAGACGTGGTAAGGTAAAAGAACAACAACCAACAGGTGGATGACCCCATTCAGCAAACTTTGTTTGAAATGTAGCCTACAGGAAAAATAATATAGTTTAGCATATACTGGGAAAGTGGATAGTGTTTTTCGAGCAATTTGATTGGTTGCACAGCACCGAATATTCTTGCACTATTCACCTCCGGACAAAAACAAAATGGCTTCCCGTTTCGTTCCGGTTATGGACGAGCAAATGTTTGTACTAAACGAAGCTGCGACTTCGTCAAACACGAAGAAAGCGACAAAGTTTTGTTTAACAGTGTGTAGAGGTTTTCTTTAAAGCTATTTCTAATCATGGTTGTTATAAGACCTGGTTAGGAAACCCGGCAAACCTCAAAGAAATTACGCTATAAACAAACATGGAGGTTGAACAGTCAGTTTGACCCTGCACATATTGGTTTTAATCAATGAGAATTGACCAAACGATGTAACACAAACATTCTCCATCCAAAAATGGTGGTAATACTTCGTTATTTGCAAAATATGCCGTAAGATATAGCCCTAGTAGGCAATCAAACAATAGAAAGACAAAGGATTTTTCAACCGTGACCCTGCACAAGGGTACACAATCACCTAAAACAAAGAGTTTCCAAACCACGAGTTTCCAATGTATAGAGGTTTTCTTTAAAACCATTGCTAATGAATAATGTTTTAAAAGTATTTTCATTGTTTTTTGGTCATTTTTGTTTTGCTTCATGTCAGTGAATAATTGTTTATTATATAGTAAATAAACAAAAAAATAGAATCATGAATTATATATATATGTAATATTAGAAAAAAGTTGATGTACTGTAAGTGAAATCGCCACAAGTAGCCCAGAAAAGTTCTGAGCCCAAGTGGGATTTGAAGCCACAACCCTCCACCTCCTAGACGGATGCCCGAACTACTGGGCTATTGAAGACTCTATATGGCGAGCAAGGGTCCTAGTAAATGAGTTTCCTAACATTGTTTGGTGAAAGAGTTAATGAAATGTAAAATAAAACATTTATCGAATTCGGTTTTTTTGATATCCTGAATTATCAAAGTCTTAGTACAGTAAATGTTATTAGTCGAGCTCAAGTTCAGAAGATTAAAATCCTGGAGGTTATCTATAAGCACTGGAGTTGTATATAAACAGAATGGGGGAGTATGATCATCATACAATTCACTGGCACGCCGGCACAAAAAAACCTCATCCAATAACGAAATAGAGAACCAACAAGCGAGCCAATAAATCAAATAACTCACAAATCAACGACATACCTGGTCTGTAGCAAACACAAAATCAGAAAGTGCGACAAGAGAAACACCAAAACCAGCAGCTGGTCCATTTACAGCCGCAATCAACGGTTTAGGACATGTCACAAGCATTCTTGTTAAAAGCCTAACACAAAAATAAATTAAAGATTACAAGAGTGATGGAAAAATTGCTATGCATTCTTTGTACTGTATTCATTTCATCGGATTTGTTTAGAAGCAAGACGTATTCTTATATTTTCTCACAACACGACCCCCTGGTAATGCACCCCCTCCCGTGCGGAAAACCTGCACCGCTCTAACAAACGAGGCCAGTTCCATCTTTGGTACTACTGTACTTCGGACACAGACCAAACGTATTGCAAACAGGTTTTACCTGAATTTCTGCAACAGTTCTCGTCGGTCAGAGTGGGAGACTGATTCAAATTGATCGAGATCCCATCCATAACTGAACGTACTGCCAGATCCTGATATAACCACCAGGGAAACATCATCCTTGCCAGCGTCACGTAAGGCAGTTATTATGTCTTCACATATCTATAGTATAGAAAGACGACTTGCTTTAAACACTCGTTGATGGTTGCGCAGAGCATAGGACAGTAGTGGGGATATAATATTTTGCTTTCTGGGACCAAAAACACAATATAATGGCGTTATCTAACAGCTTAGTATATGTAATAGGATGGTTCCGAGTGCGATTTGAATAAAACATGCACGATTGAGTTTTTCAAAGCGCATCAAAATAGTACGAGTTCAAAGGACGAGTGCTATTTGAGGTCTTAAACTTACGGGTACTTGTTTTATTCAAATTTCAAGAGAAACCATCCCAGTACGTTTTAATACTATACATATAAATGTTTGAGACAAAGTTTTCCGGGTTTGTTACATTAAGCAACCCTGACGGTTCGAAAATTTCAATTTGGTTAGTCTTACTTAAGATGTAGTCTTTTCCATTTTTACTTTACCAAACTTTTACTTTACGTAGCGCGGCCGCCATTGTTGTTTTGTTTTCTGTGGCCGTTACTTGAGGCACAGAGGAAGTACATACAGAGATCTCACTTCAGGTTAATTTCGCGTAAGGGATTTTTTCAGTCCGCCATGTTCTTAGCAAGTGCCCTAAAGAGAGGCAGTCACCCCCCTGAAAACATATTGAAAATTTAATATTCCAGGGGGGTGAATGCCTCTCTTTAGGGCACTTGCTAAGAACATGGCCGCCAGCTATTTCGGTAAAAAGCGCCTTACGGTTTTGTAATGGAAGTTACACTTCTGTATGTCTTTATTCTGTGCTTGAGGACTGCTTTAAGCTGATTGGTTGATTTTAGATCTTATTGTTTTTCCACCAATCAGATCAGTTTGTTATAGATTTTTGCAATGCTGTTTGACATTAACTGCACTGAAACCAACCAATCACAGTCGAGTAAGATCTTCACGTAACCTTACTTGTCTATTGATGACGTTTTTCTTCGCCTCGTTGCATATCTTAATGTATAAACAACCATCTCTATTGGTGACGACCAACTCCTCTTCGAGCACACAATTTGAGGAACAATCTGGCAGCGTCTGTCTGGTCAAACGTGAAGGCAATGACAATGTTGGACTGTCAATCACAATACGATTCTTCTGAGAAGATAAAATAATGCCATTTCTTTTCTTCCCTTTTCTACGACCTTTAAACAACAGAATTGAAAACAATAACGTTTATTTCAACATGATCCAAGACCACTAGTAGTACAAATATATAGCCTTGCAAAGTTTAGGTTAGGAAAATATAGCCTTGCAAAGTTTGCAAATTTTGTATATGAAGGATATCACATAGCGGCGCGAAGCCACCGTGTAATGTTCGTATGTTCATTATATAGTTCAAAGCAAAACAATTGTATAAAATAAAAGTCACGTGATCGATATCTTCACTAGTGAAGATATGGAAAATACAGTATCTCACTATGTATTTTTCAGTATCTCACTCTCTACTATATAATAAATGTTTGTATTACGTGCGGAAATTGTTACCATTTTCGGCTCAAAAATTGTAACAATTTGCGAACGTAATTACAAACATATAGAAAATATGCAGACTTCGCAAGGCTATATTTTCGTATTCTACAACATTTTGTAATCAAATTTTGCAATTTTACTCTTTTTAATAAGTTCTTTACGGGAATTTTTTTTTTTTTGCCTAGATCAAAAATTAGTCTAACAAGTTGTCTATTAAATATTCATTATATACTGTACACTGGCCAACCTTTTAGTTTTCCTTTCGATTTCAGTAATTCTTTCGAATGATTCACAGTGTATTGCAGCTTTACAGAAAGGGCCAACTGTTCGTCGGCATTAGGAACACTTGGCTGCGGCTCTTGTGCAATCACTGTCTTTCGCTTTGCTGGGCGACCAGGTCTTCTTTTCACATTTTTCTTGATGCGATTTTCATTTTCAATATTTCGGTTTCTAAGACTTCGATTATAGTTATCTGGCGACGTTCCATTAAATTTCACCATCGTCTCTTGATCTGCGAGAAGATTTTGACAACAGAGTTACTAGGGCAAGAATTTAAATATTTAACTGACTGACTACCATCAGTTTCCCCTATGACAAGTACTAACAACGTATATAAATAATAGGGTATTATTTATATACGTCGTATCGCTGTCCTCGCAATGAGTCGCGTGTAAGTGACTATCTTTAGTCCTGTATTTAATAAGCTGTAATTTGCTAATTGGAGATGTTCTGAATTTCTTTAACAATTTTTACTGCAGTATTTACTATTTATGTCAATTAACAACATTCAATGAGCCGCCTACACACGTACTGAAAATCTCACAACTTGTCAACAAGATGTGTTCGCAACAGGCTTGTAGCAAGCTTGTCAACAAGTTGTAACAATGCTGTTATTTTATCAAGTTGTTACAAACTTGTCACTCACAACTTGTTGACAAGTTGTTGAATTGCAGGACGATAACAAGTTGTTGGAACAAGTTGTAACAAGTCTGTTGAACTGAACAACCTTGTAGCAAGTTGTCAACAAGCCGTTGACAACTTGTTAACAAGCTGGGAACAAGCAGTGCGAACACATCCTGTTGACAAGTTGTTGGAACAGCATTGCTACAAATCTGCTGCAGGTTTGTTACAACTTGTGCGTTTTTACGTGTGTATGCCTTAACCTCATTATAACACATTAAGTTGCATTGCACCCTAATGCGCCATAGTTTACTATTTTACTCTGTCTAATGCCAGATGATTTTACTCCTCAAGAGGAGAGTGCTGGCACTCAATACGTTATCAAACTATCTGCCCAATCGTCAACCTCGTACCCAGGGTCTTTCTTTTTGTGGAGAAAAGACCCTGGTAGATGCTGGTCATGTGATCTGCTAAAATCTAGCAGATTTCTAATTAACTATATTGGATTCATTTATTGCAATCATACAAAAGCAAATTATAAATTAAACTATAAAATTATCCAAATATCAAATATTTATAGACTTCATCTTGGATTGAAAAAATCTGCTAGATTTTAGCAGATCATGTGACCAGCATCTACCAGGGTCTTTTCTCCCCTGGCCAAGAGGAAAGACCCTGGGTACGAGGTTGGTCTAATGCCAGATTTTACTCCTCAAGAGGAACATACAGGCACTCAATAGGTTAATTAATCAAACTATCTGCCCAACCATCTAGTTAACCCATTGAGTTGCATTATTATTTTACTCTGTCTAATGTAGAACTCAGGGGCGAAACAGAAATACGGTATTTCTGTTTCGCCCCTGAGTTCTACATTAGACAGAGTAGAATAATAATGCAACTCAATGGGTTAACTAGATGGTTATACGCGAGAAAATATTCAAGCACCAATACAGCGAGTCACCATATAACGTATCATTTTTCTTAATTTTTGCCCAAAATACAAGTACTGATGACAAATTTAAGGAATAAATATAGTGGTAAAATTAAACAAATACCAAGCACAAATGGTAACTGAAGTTCTTTGCAAACACTTTTAGACAAAGGTTTTTCCTCCACTTGACGGCGAAGTATCTCCTCTCTCAGTTCTTTCCGAACTCCTCGCAAGAGTTTCTTTCGTTTCTTCAAAGGCAAAGCTTGCAACGTCAGCAGTTCTTTCTTTCCTTGAGAGAAACTTGGTTTCTCAGCAAGGTGCAAAACGCTTGAAGCTTGACTTCCTGATAACGAAAGAACATTTTTAGTGATGAACACTCAGAGACTACATACCTATGTGATGAAATTAGGGGCGGACCATTTGATTTTTGAGGGGGGAGGTGGAAGATTCAGTCTGTGCAAGAATTTTTTTTCCGCCCAGGCGAACGAGACAGATATTTTTTTCCTGTAAAAGTGCAGCGCAAGATATTTTTTTCCCAATATATTTGGCCGCAGGATATTTTTTTTGCCTCTCATAATAACGGCTTACAGTAACTTTAGGCTTTCATATAGCTATCATCGGAGACGTAGCAGGGGTTTTCAGTCAGAGGAGGCCGAGAACTGAATCCCAAGAGGGGCCAAGGAATTTTCACTGTGCTTTATTTTATATATGGTTATGTCTTAATGTTCCCCACACTAAAGCGTGCAAGTTTACTTACAAAGAATGTATAACTGCACCAAAACCTAAAACATGCAGGGATAGAGTAGAGTACTCGAAAATGGGGGAGGGTACAGTATATGAATGACCTGTAACCTTGGGGGGTTCGGGGGCATGCTCCCCCGAGAAAATTTTAAAATTTGAACCTCGGAAATGCTATTTCCTGCGTTTTCAGCCATGGATAATTATCTTAAGCCCAGATTTTCTCAGGGGGGGGCAACAATTTTGCCAGGGAACACCACTGGCTATCGTATGTCAGAGGCTCCAAAGGCGGTAGAATCCCTGTGATGTTATCCACTGTTCACCCTGTGTTCTTTTAAGCAAATGTGCCTGCTCAAAAATGCAAAATCTTGCAAGCCTGTGGACACAATACTGAAGTGAAGAGCATCAGTAGAGTTACATGTAGAAAATTTTTTTTTGAGCGCTCTCTTTTGCATGATATTTTTTTTTCTCGATTGTGTGCTGCATGATTTTTTTTTTCTTTCTCCTTGGGTTGCAGGAAATTTTTTTTCGAAATCTTCCACCCCCCCCCCCAAAAGTCAAATGGTCCGCCCCTTATGTCACATGACACATACTAAGTAACTAGGCCTAGGCAGTTGCGATACTGAAAAAAATCGATATATCGATATCGAAAAAAATATCGACTATATCGAATTATGCAAGTGAGAAAACGTAATTTAGTCAACTTGCATGTATACGCATCACAAACAGTTAAAAAGAAGTGTGTGTTATTTTGCTACCTTGTTTTTAAACCTGTGTCGATACGCGCGTCATTAATTAACATTCAAATTATTGTGAATTCCATGTTTATGATTCATCACAAAACTATTGTTTTCAAGTGTTCAATACCGCTGTTTGGTGATCTTCTGTGGTCAGTTTCTCTGTTTTCGCTTTTAATTTCAATTGCCCACGCACTCATATATCATAAATTCGCAATTGCCGCCATACACACATTGTCTAAACTTCATCGGTGAAAACAATAATTGCTGAATAATCGGAGATCAGTTAAGTTGTTTAGTTACAACTTTCAATATTTTCGATATGCAAAAAATCGAATATCGAACATCGATATTTTTGAAATATAGATATTTATCGAAAATATCGATATATCGCAACTGCTTTACTAGGCCTAAAGAAAATATCTGTGGTTTCGGTTTCATATCGTGAAAAAATTAGGGTCAGTAGGTCGGAAATAAATTTTTTTTGAATATTTTTTTCATGGTTTTGGCGGGTTTTGCTGGGCGATTTTGCGGTAGAGTCCTGACATCAATATTAACTAGAGATGCATATTTCCTATGGACGAATTTAGGCAATTTGGTTCAATAATTAGTGTGACAACAGACGCCATTTTGGCATGCTGTATGAGCAACCCGCAATCACCCGGAGAAAATAGGGTCGCACGGTCAATCGCATTGAAAAAATAATAGGGTCGGCAGAAAAAAATTAAGTCGGTCGGGAACAGGAACCACAGGTATTTTTTTTAGGCCCTATGCAGAAATGATATAATGGGCTAATTAGTCACACATTCAGTTTTTTTTTTAAACTTTACTAGTGATTGACAGATTGTGGCACAATTGGAAACTAATGAATATTAATTTAATGCAACAATCTACCCAATGCCAATTTTCTAATTATGCAGCCCTCGACAACTGTCAAAATTGAGGTTGGCAAAAAATGCCAACCTGAAGTTGACCTAGGTCGGCACGTCTCTGCAATTTTTTTAAATCTGTATCCATGTGTGGGGACACTAGTAATCACATATTTACGAATCATTGAAAAGTAACACAACGGCTTTTCTTTTTGGAGTCTTACCTAAATTATATATAGAGTACCCGTCAATTTTTAAACCTTACATCGAAGTGTGTTTAGTTAATCAAACTAATAATCAAATTCTACAATCGCTGACTTTTTAACAGCTACATGTATCAAAACCCGAAAAAATTCTTACTTTGGCTGCATGAATTAAGGTTGGCAAAAATTTGCCAATCATGGAGGTTGATAAGTTGGCATTTACGTCGGCATTGCCGAATGCCAACCTTGTTTTTGAGGGCTGTTATGTCATAATCAGGCCTCGAATTTCCCTGAAATCAATCGACGGCAATGGCGTTAAAAATTGCAGTAGAATGTAACAGCTGTCTACGATAATTTTGACAGTTTCCACAGCATTTTTGAAATTACTGTGACAAAACTTTAACAAAGAAAACTGAGACTAAAATAGTGATTTACGCATGATTTGATCAACATCTGAATTCAAGTATCAAAATAGTAATGCACAGTGAATAGTATAAAAATTGCACTATACGGCAAAAAATTGCCGTTGTTGCCACAATGATCCACAGCATTTTGTTCTCCCTCTACGGCAATTGCCGCGATAAAATTCGAGCCCTGGTCATAATGACATAATGTCAGTCAACCAAGTAATGGTGACATCATTAACATAGATTTTTAACAATAATTTCCAACATAGCGTGTTACTCTAACCAAAGGCTGTTAAAACCATTCATAAATGGCAAGCTTCACACATTAATTTCTTAGCGGCAACATATTGCATATCAATGCGCAATGCAGATCATTTTTAAAATGGGTATTTTCTCAACAATTAGTTTTACACAATCGGAAATACAAATCATTCCACCAATTCCAATATTTGCCCAACGACACCATAAACCTCCCAAATATAAGCTCCCCTGTGTGTCAGCCCCCCACATTCACTAATGCACCTATCATTGTTCTCCCCGAGGGGGGTGCGGGCGACCCAGGGGAATTTGACCACACTATGAAGCTCCAGTGAGGGGAATTTGACCTATGCATCAACTCCCAGAGTCGGGAAATTTTGACATCCGCCATCTTGAAAGTTTGTGCTGTTTTGCCTGGTAACAAGTATGGCAGAGAAGCAAGATCAAGTTTCATCGGAAAAGGTATTTTACACACAGTGTCTCAATTTTTACCAAGTTTAAACCAGTATAGACTGTATGTTCGCATTGGAAAACATATGTGTGCCTCGTTATTTTAGGAATGTAGTGGGGAATTTTGACAGCCGTTCCTTGCCCAACAGTGGGGATTTTGACTACAAAATTTTAAAAATGTCAAAATTCCTCTGGGTTGCCTGCACCCCCCTCTCAGGGGGAAAACATTGATAGGTGCATAACACTCACAACATTCCAAATATAACATGGCGGGCAGGATTGCGGGAATCAAATCTGCGGCCCTGTGCATCCATTTTAATTTTGTCCCGTAGGTAAACAATCTGAGAAACTCTAGTTTGGAGGGCTGCAGGTTCGGTTAACTGGTTTTGAGTCAAACCTCAGGCTAAGTGCACACCAAGTCCCTCCACATGTGATCAGCACTTGTTTCCATCTGCCAAACTGAGGCGACCTCATTTTCAAAAGATGTGTTAAATGGTTATGTAACTAACCCAAATCTACCCCCTACTCTAACCCCTAACCCCACCTGAAACCCTAACTCTATAAACCAAATTAATAAAAAAATCCAAAAAGAAACAACTTTAGAATTTGATCAAATGACGTAACGTGATTCAAACCTCCACATGCACATATAGATCTTGGTCAAAAACGTCAGACAACCCCAAATCACATAATACATAACATGTAATATGTAATTACATAACATGTAAATAATCAAATCATTTTTGCCTGTGCATGTATAAAATATGTAGTTTCATTTCCGTGTAAATTTTTAATGAATACACCAAACATATTTCGTGCCTTGCCTTGGCATGCAGTCAAATTAAACACAGACGCCATTACTAGATGCAAAGATACGTTCACGTAAACTCTACCTGGAATCGGCCAATGCTTAGCGAAGTATTCTTGAATGGCTTCCTGACAATTCGAGAAATTCTGAATCGGTTCCCACGTCGTCAAAGATGGCGGATAATTCTGCCAGCGAACTAAATAATCTTCTTTGCCGCCCTTCGTAGTTCGCCTGCCAACAATTTCGTCTACCTACGTTGTAAGAAAGAGGGGGAAAGTAAAGATAAAACCATAAAATAAAGAAAGGAATTCGAGAATCATGTGCTCACCTCATACGTGTCTGATGAAGCCATCACCCATTTCTGGGTAGTTTAATTGTTTGTTCGAAAAATTGCGCGCGAAACTTCCACGTGTCACGTGCAGCGGTGCAGAGAACCGGTGTCCATGTGGTGCCCATCTGTTCCATTGACCATTTTCACCCCCCCCCCCATCAAAATAATCAAGATACTTATTAACGCCCCTCTCCCCCCGGGATATATTGTTACAAAAATTAAGTAGCTAGTTTGCTAGGTGATGTTACTGTCAACTTTACCCTGCATGTTTTTATAGGCCTTTTATATACCGAGAAAATACTGTATAGAATGAAAACTAAACAGTATTCTGATTCACACTGGATATCAAGATTTAGGGCATTTAGTTTCGACATACACACGTAAAAACGCACAAGTTGTAACAAATCTGCAGCAGATTTGTAGCAATGCTGTTCCAACAACTTGTCAACAGGATGTGTTCGCACTGCTTGTTCCCAGCTTGTTGATAAGTTGTCAACGGCTTTTGACAACTTGCTACAAGGTTGTTGAGCTCAACAGACTTGTCACAAGTTGTTCAACAACTTGTTATCGTCCTGCCATTCAACAACTTGTCAACAAATTGTGGGTGACAAGTTTGTACCAACTTGATAAAATGACAGCATTGTTACAACTTGTTGACAAGCTTGCTACAAGCATGTTGCGAACACATCTTGTTGACAAGTTGTGAGATTTTTACGTGTGTAACTGTCACTGAATGCAGGTGAGATATTATATTCCCATCTACATTCAGTTACAATATGCATGCCCCAAATTTGTAATTTACCAAAAACTTGACACTGGCTAGCATCATCTCATATTGCCAACTGGCAAATTCACCAGGCCAGTGTGACCAGGTTTTTTCAGGGCAAATTACCACAATCCTCCAAAAATGACGAAAAATTACCATAGTAGTAATGAAATTACCACATCTGGTCACACTGCACCAGGCAATCAATCAATCAGCCAATCAGGCATAGATTAAATTAACAGCCTTTCACAAAAATAACATGAAGTAGAAGTACGCTCCGGCGGGCGCAAGAAATAAATTACGCGCCAAATTTCTCACATTCGCGCGCTGAATATCAGTTTACATTTTCCGGTGACATTTTCTAAATCGAAATTTATATCTGTTTCGAAAAATATAAATTGTTGAAAGTAACCTTCGAAGAAACATGCCTCACATCGACAATAATATCAAACTTGATTTCAAAGATGTTCTCATACGACCCAAAAGAAGTACAATACGGAGCCGAGCCGATGTAAGTTCACTATTAAGTTGTCGATTTAAATATGAATATTTCAAAAGTTACTTTACCCCCTTCATAACCCTCAAGAAAATTTTTGATTGTATATTATTAATGCATCATGCCGCGATGCGCTCCAATGTTCCCTTGATTCTATTTTGTGAAGATGGAGTGTGTATATACGGGGCCCT